ATTTGTCAAAATATAACATTATTTAAACAAATTATACAAAAGTATGAATAAAAGAGAAACGAAAATGAAATAATAAAAACGAATATTGATTTACAAATGTTAAAGCTCAATGTGTAATATGCACACATTGAATCTAGTAGAAACAAACTTACAAATTACAATCATGCCTTAAACAAGCAAAGAAACACAAGAATTCTCTGACCAAAATTTATATTAGGACAAAGAGCAAGAAGCAACAAAACTTTGGAATAAAGTTTAATGGCAGTGACACTTCATAAACTTTGAATTCTCGACTCTTCCTCCTTCTCACCTCCTAGAACTTCTTTTCACTAGGCAAAAACATATGGCTTTGTGTGATTGTGTGGCACACCAGAAGGAGATGACACACTTCCCAGCTTCACGTTTCTGAAATTATTTTGAATCCGGGGATTTTAGGACAAAAGACCAAGAAGAAGATAATAAGCATGTAAGATGGCAGAGTTATAGGTTCTTCTAGTTTAATGGCAGTGTTATAGGTTCTTCTTAGTTGTTAGAGTGGAGCGATATTTCCGTTAAACTATAACACAAGAACACATAACTCGAAAGTTGAATTTTACCAAGTTAAAAATTCCACTACCTAACCAGAAGAGTAGATATAAAAATAGGGTTTCAAAATCCCAAACCAGCAAAAACCTAAGGATAGTAATCAGTAAGATAAAAGTAGTGTAAAGGATCAAGAAACTAAAAATATGAGAATAAAGCAGTTCTCATATTACTTGTCTCCATGAAACGAGGCTGAAGAAATCTCTGCTTCATCCTTGCTTTAGGTGAATCATCCTCTTTTTTAGGGCACCAAAAATCGATTTCTCAAGGATTTTGGGGGAGAGATAATTCGAACCGAGGAGGAGGAGGAGAAGATGCTCATCCGCATCTCAAGGTGAGAAAGAGCAATCGGCGGGAAAAGAGAGATCGGCCTTATTATTTTTAACATTTTTGTTAGGTTAAGAGATAGGAAGGGGATAATGAACGGACAAGATTGATACTGGAAAAATGAACGGACACGATTGGCTATACTTTCCCTCTAAAATTGCCATGTCATCAATCCGAATGATTCTTTTTAATTGGTTCTCATCTTCTGAAATACTATTTTGTTTTGATTACAAACATTTTCACTTATAATTAATTTTACTTGCAATATTTTGGTTTTATAGTTTTGTTTTAATTTTTATGTTTTATTATAAAAATTGTAAAGGTTAGTATTCATAATTTAGGGTTTGAGATTTAAGTTTTAAGATTTATGATTTGAATTTTTTGGATATATATTGGATATAAATTATGCCCAAGTTTTAGTGTTTAGTATTTACAAAATGAATATTTGAATTTTCTTATTATATAAGTGTTGGATTTTTTGATATATTATTTGGTGTTCATGTATGATAATTTTCAACTAAAGTTTTAGTGTATATGATTAGAAGTTTAGGGTTTGTGTTTGGGGTTTAGAATTAGGGTTTAGGGTTTAAAAAATGATTCCACTAAAATTTTAAAATTTCTATATCCTAAATCAAAAACTCATTAATCCGTAAAATTTATTATATTTCTATTCTTAATACCGTAAAAACATTATATTTC